CCCACATGAGGTCACCACCTCACCCACCAGTTCTTCCCATTCTGCTCAAAGCCTCCTGTCTGCAGCCCCCATCCACAACGTAACAATCTCCAGGCTCGAGGGAAGCTCCCAGGCCAGCTGTGGGACAGTGTACAGAGCCCTGCAGGCTGCCCCACCCTTCCAGAGAGCAAAAGGTCACCCTTGAACTCGCTGCCCTCACTGGGCACTTGCCAGCTGCCTCCTGAGCTCACCCACATCACAGGCTCTAGGAGGACAAGGACGGGAGTGGGCGGGGACCGGGATGCCTCTGCCAGCAGCTAGGGCCACTAGTGGACGGCCTAACTCCCAGCCAGGCACAAACCAGGCGTAGACTTTGGAAAGTGTCCTGACCAGAGCCGGGCCTGGCCTGAGACTGCGTGCAGCCTGGGCTTCTGTAACTGTGGCTGGGAAAATGGCTCAAAGACAACTTAAGCAATAAGCTAGGGAGATCAAAGTCACATGGCCAGGTGGTGACAAAGTTAAGGAAGAATGACCATCTCCCTTCCCACTCGTTGATTCTCAACTACTGGTCGGTTTGCATTTTTCTTTTTCAGTCAAGACACTGAGGTTACAGTTTACAGCCAGAGCCCAGTTTCCACCCCAAGAGGGGCGGTGCACAAAGGAGAGGCAGAAGCCCTAAGTGGCCAGGGTAAGCAGTCAGGAATGAGCCAGAACTCAGCGAGCAGGGCTGAGTGACCTTGAGCAAATGACTTAACACATCTGAGCTCCAGTTTCCTCAGCCTTACAATAGGAACAAAGCAGTACAGAGCCTACAGCTATCAAAAAGAAGAATGTGCCATTGAAGGGACCCCGCCTCCCCCCCCCCCTCCTAAATACATTAACATTTGACTAGCCTCTGGAAGCTTTTAGCACCCCCTGCCCACACTCAGTCTATGTTCCACAACAAATGTCATTGCCACAGGCATCTGGCTTAAAGGGCCCAAGCCATCACCCAGGCTCTCCGGAGGAGAAGGGCTAATTAACCTGCCTGGGATGGAAAGGCTGCCCTGGCCACAGCACTGGGACCCAGGCCAAGGGGCTCCTCTGCACCTTGTTCCCTCCTCCCATGGAGGGCCCAACTCTCCACTTGGCATGATTCAAACTCAGGTGTTCAGAAAAGGTAAAAGACGCTTGCCATTTCTAAGGACTACCCCAGTCACCAAGCCACTCTTCTGGCAGGCACAGAGCTTCCACCTGGGCTGGAGACAGCTGCTGGGCAGCTGTGTGGCCATCAGAAGCTCCAGGAAATGGAGTAATCAGATTGCTGCCAGCGGCTGCCTGGGTGAAGTTTTTAAAGTAAAAGAAGCCTTAAGACACCTTCTAAGTTTACACTCCCTTTCACCCATTAACACCTTCCTGATGGGTGTCTCACTGCTCCAGCAGAGAGGAAACTCAACAGGGGTGCCTCTGCACACCCCAGGGCAGGCTTCCAGGCCACAGGGGACCCTTCACAAGGCTAGTAGGATCCCCAGGCCACAGTCTAACAGAACAGAGCCTAAGACGCAGCAGCAAAACCGGGGAGACCTAAACAAAGAGGCAAAACTTGCCAGGAATCACTAAAGGGGTACAAATTGAAGCCAGATATAAAGACAGGTAGTCAGGGTAGCTAGTTAAATCGGGTCTGATGGAGAAAATTGAGTCTGGATTGGAAACAGCCCCTGGGAGACTGGAAAGATGCTCAAGTCTCCAGAGCCCTTAGGTACTCCCCCTCCCAAAAAGGTTGTAAATGAAGCAACTCCAGAGCAGACAGGGAGCTGCTAACCAATGCCCCTGGGCTGATGCTCCCTTCCTGCCCAGCACTTCACCTAGGCCCTTCCAGCCCACCTGTACCTGCACACCCCCCACCCCCTGCCATGCCATCCACATCCCCCAGTCACTCTGCAGGATGAGAGGAAATAAACAAGGGAGAAGAATGGAGAACAAGGGAAACTTTAGACATATAAAAGCGACGGATTCCACCTTTGGGTCTGTCCCCTTCTTCCACCCTGATTTACTGTCCTTTAATAAAGTTTCTTACTTTCTACTCCAGGTGTGCTTCCCTGGTGTTATACTTCAACATTTGAGGAAGCAGGACTCGTCAAGGTAACCAGTAACCTGTGATATCAAATCACACCAAAGTGACCTGCAAGCTGTATCCTGGACATTTACAGTCAGCAGCTCAAACATGATAGGTGGCCTCACTGTATGTAAGGCAGAGTGTCAAGGATTGAGTGCCCGAGGGAAAAGATGTCAGGCTTGGATGTCAAAAACTCAGGTTCCCTATGTCAAAAATGCATTCTATTGTAAAATTAATTAATTAAAAAAAAAAACAAAAAAAACTCAGGTTCCTATCCTGGCCCAAATGGGGTTCACCCATTATCTTAAGTGCCTCTTAGTAGCTGGGCCAGTCCAAGGTAGTTAATAGGCCTCCCTAAGGCCCACGGTCTCCTCACCTGTGAAAGAACTCACAGGTGGCTGTGAGGGTCAAATGTGATAGATGTCAAGGTTCAGCATACAAAAATGGTGTGATCTTTGCATGCACCTCTCTTCACTGAGCACACACTCATGCCTAAACTTAGGCATGGAAATCTTCCTCCCTATTGTATTTCAAAGTTTGGAAGTTCAAGCAATTCACCCCATCAGTTTTAATTCCTTGGGACTGGTTTAAAGATTAAGCAGTGCTTCCCGAAATTTAATTTGTAAATGAATCCCCTGGGGTTCCGGTTAAAATGTAGATTTGGGTTGAAGCAGGTGAGGGTGGGGCCAAGGAGTTTGCATTTTTAAGAGCTCCTGGTGAGGCTGAGATCTGGGAGCTCAACTTTGGAGCAGAAAAGTTCTATGGAATTCAGCTAGAAATGAACCCAAGGCAAATCTAATTTCATTGGCAAACGACATCCAGGTAAAGTAGTATACAGAAAGCACACAGGCTGGCTTCTGAAAGGGAGCTCACTGGGAAGGGAGGGAAGGGAAGGGAAGCCCCGAAAACAGGCCCCACCCGTGCCTTATTCAAATAAGTTTGTACTCTAAACCAGGTGAAAGTACACTTCAGAAATCATAAAAGCAGTATACTTCAGACAATGGTCTGAAAAACAGTACATGTCCTAGGATATGCCACATTTGACCCCATTCCTCAGCCAAGCTGGGCTTTCTTAAAAGGCCTCTTCTCAAATTAATTTTCCCTACATCCTCCCTTGCTGGCACATCAAATTTGATACTGTTTCTGTTGACAGTTGTCATTTTAAAAGTGCCTATCAAGTTACCAGATATGGACTATTCAGATATAGTAAGATGAACATGATTGACAGGTAAGGATGCATCTTAATACTAACTCATCTTAATGTGTTGAAGTGCGAGGGATCAAGAAAAACATCCTAAAGGTTCACAGAGATAGGATTAGAGAGAAAATTGTGGATGTTCTTTGGCTCAGAAATAACAACCCAAGATAATCCATATCCCTGAAATTAGCTGCTTAGAGAAGGAGCTAGAGGTAATCCGACCTCCAGCTGTTTGCAGCACAGGGAATACATCTGTCTACCAGGTGACACAGGCCAGCCCTTGCACACTGGCTTAAAATAACACGTATGTTTATTATAATTCCTGTCATGACCCACTGACTGCTGGGCTTGGGCTCAAACTCCAGAATTATGAGCCGGTGTGCGATGTCAAGCAGTAATACAGGGCTGCCCAGAAACTGCTGAGTGTGCACTACTTGCCCAGAAAGGGATTCCCCCTCCCACGCACTCACCCGCTACTGGGGAGATGCATGCTCTAACAAGAAATGCCAGAAGCGGACTGTCACCTGTGCCCAGTGTCACTAATTCATCCATGCAATCACAAGGTTGCTTCCCAGACTCCACACCCCTGGCCCTTGAGCCTACAGGCACTTGAACTGCAATATACACATCAGCACCGGCCTGATTTCATCCACCGGCAAGAGTCAACTTTGGATGAGCCGGCTTGTTCTTTGACTTGATTACAAGAAGTTTTCCAACAGGCTACCTTCTTACTTGGGCCAGATCAAAACAGGCGCATTACAGGAGACAGACTGTAATAGAGAATGTTCTTCCAGCTCATCTTGATGCCTTCAGAATCCTGGCAAGGGTCTATCCCTGAAGGGTAAACTGAGGCTCCACTCTGCTAAATCAACCGAACCCAGGTGGAGTCTATGTTGTAACTTACTTCACAGTAGATTGACTTAAGATCAGAGCCTCCCAGGGAATAGGCATAAATCTCGCCAGTTGCTCCCCACTCCCGCTGCTCCCCAAACTCCAAGTCCCACACAAATCTAACAGACGGTCCCTAACAAGCTCCTGCCATTTCCTGGATAAGTAAATATGAAACATTTCGTGGTTTTGCTAGTATGTCTGCAGGTAAAATAAGCTTTTAACTAACTCGAGCAAATTCATCCTGGAATGGGGTACGGGGGCTCAAGGGAATGTAAAGACTTCCCACTTCTTAGGAAAGCAAAGAGAAAACGCCAAGTTTCCCCCTACCACAGCAACACTGAACTCAGAAAGGAACTTTGGAAGGTTCTCGCGTGTCTGCTACTAGTTCAGGCTCCCGCGCGCCGCCCAGCCGCGAGCCCCACCCACCGCACCACGCTGTGACCGCCAGCTGCCAGCCCAGCTGGAGGATCGCACCTCCGGGTCTGAACCGGGTTTCAGGAAGTTCAGGATCTCCTAGTGCTGTGAGGTTCGGGAGCCCCTTTTTAATGGGTTCCTGCAACTCCCAACTCCCAGGCCATGACATTAGCAGGGTGCTCCTGCTCTGCAAGTGCCAGGTTCGCAAACACACGTATGACCACACACCCCCTGGACTCTCTTCCTCTTTCGCGTGCCCCAAATGGTTTGGAATTCGGGCCAGAAGCCCTGGATCCAAATGGGCGCGGGAAAGTGGGAGCTACCAGTGCGTGCAGTACAGTCTAGAGACTACCGGGAGGCTGGGCGTGCCGGGGGGTGGACAGCGACGCAGAGCAGGGCGCGTGTAGCGTCCAGGGTACTCACCGAGACCTCTGCAGCTGCTCAAAGGCGCTGGTGCTGCCGCTCTGACCCGACTGCTCCAGGGAGCAGTAGTTTTGTGAGATCTGCCTGGAGAAGGCGATGGGCAGGATTCCCTGAGTGAACGAGTTGAGACGGCCCCGACTGCCGCTCCCACTCCCGGGGGTCCCGGAGCTCAAGAAGGCGGCTGCCGGCACCTGCACGGTGGTAAAGGCATCGTCCTCCTCCAACTCCTCCTGCTCGGCACTCCCGGGCCCATCCAGCAGCTGCAGTTGAGAACAGGAGGCTAGAGGCGCCGACCGGGACGTTTGCAAAAGCTCCCCCGACGTCCGGCCCGCGCCCAGAGGGCTAGCGAGCGCCCGCGACGCTCCGGGGCCGGGCAGGGTCGCGTGGCCGCCCGGAGCCAGGGGCGGCAGCAGCGAAGGCTGCAGTGGGAAGGGGCTAGACCCAGTAGCCAACGCCGCGGCCGCTGTGCCCGGTGCGGCGAGCGCGCTGCAGCCGGCGGCCAGTAGGCTGAGCCGAGTCCTAGCGCCGTAAGCGCTGCCCGCTCCGGGCTTAGCTGCTCCGCTCTCCTCGCCGCCGCCCCACTCCTCCTCCTGCAGCGGCGGCCGTCCGTCCAGCGAGATGTTGGTGAGGAAGGAGAGGGCAGCCTGGCGGCGCCGTGGGTCCACGCGCGGCTTCCGGGGGGGTTCGGGCGGCCGCTGGGCCGGTGCGGCGGCCGCGGGCTGGGGCTGCGGCAGCGGCGGCTGCAACCCGCTGGTGCCCGCGGCGTCGGTGCCAGCGCTGCCGCCGCTGCTGCAAGCGGCTGAGCCGGCGGTGGCGGTCGCCGCCGCCATTGTGTCCGTCTGCGGCGTTAGTTCCGCGATGCCCAGAGAAGCGAGCGGCGCCGAATGCTAAGCGGCGGGCGCGAGCCGCGGCGACCCGGGCTGGGTAGGGCGCGGGGCGCAGGCGGCGTGCGCGGCGGCCCAACCCCCCCGCAGGCGGGCCATGCTCGCCCCTCGGTGCTCGGGCGGGGGGCGCCGCCGACCCACACGCGCGCTTCCCTCACTCGCTGCTGGTGCGGCGGCGGCGGCGGCTGCTGCTGCTGGCTCGTTGGCTGTCCGCCCGTCCGCGGGTCGCCTGGCTGGTCCGGCTCCCGGCCCCTGTGTTCGTATTTATAGGTGCGCGCGCCCCGCGCTCACGCTCCGAAGCAATAACACAGTATCACGTGTGGGGAATGAAACCTGGGAAGAAAACAAAGCCGCAGGCGGCGGCCGCTGAGGCAAGCGGCGGGAGGCTAAGGGGCCAGAGGAGGAGGAAGAAGAGGAGGAAGGGAGAGCTGGCGCGTGGCGGGGCTGTGCAGGTCGTCCCAGCTACCTGCTGGGAGAGTTGGTGGCTCCCGGGGCGCGCAGAAGCCAGGTGCGGGAGGCGAGCACGTTACCCCAGCACGCTAGCTCTGAGAATTGGGGGTGCAAACAGAACCTGTGAGTCACAGCGTGGGGATGTGCTCCTGGGAGACTTATGGTTCTGCAGGAGAGTTATTTGGAGCGACACAGAGATTTGGACAAGTTAACTGGACCCTGCCTTACTGTTGCACCCGACCAATAAGTCTTATTAATAGTTACACCCGTAGGTCCGCAGCCCCACCGGAAAGCGTAGCTAACCACTGAGGTGTCTCTTATTCATCCGCAGGCCAGGGGAGCGACCCCAAGATGAAGATATGCGCTGAGGAGCACGCACATTTTCCGTGTGATCTAACTGATCTACACCCCCGCCCCCCTATTTCATACTGCTGGAACTTTTCATCTCCCTGAGTAAAGACCAACATAAATTTTCACTTTGGCCCTAAAATGTGATTGGTTTTCTATAGAGACTGAGACGGGCTAAAACAGTCTCCTTTCTCCTTGTCGCCTTGCAAATTTTTGAGGATTATGATCTTTTCCACTCCCATAAGCCAGGACCAATATGGATAGCTACTCTGGCACGTATTTCATAAACATCCGTTTGACGCCTATCTTGTCTTCTTGAGATGTGGGTTATTTGCCAAGGACGCTATGACCCTTCCAGAGGGGCGGCTCCTAATCTAGGTGTGGAAGCCCCAACCCCAACTCCAACCAGTGAGGATGGGGGTGGAGCCATCGCCTGAAGCAATCAAAAATCGTGGGGGGATTTCTATAGGCAGTTTGAGTGACCTCCCAAATGCAATAAAGAACTACTGTCACACTGAATTAAACTCTGTGACACCTAAAAAACTTGCTTCACTTCTCTGAGGGAGAAGCAATGTGCTTAAGATCAACAGATTAATTTAATTAAAGGTTTAAATTTAGCCCTGGAGCTAATAGGTAACTCTACATTGAAATTCCACTCCATTTCAAGTTCAGGAAAGTAAATTAAGTAATGGAGAGCAAACACACTGTCCAGAGATGTGCAGCCAGCCTTGAGTAGGAGATAGGGTGTGTTTCAAGTTACATTTGCTCTGGGACACACAGGTCACATGGTTTTTTACATGAACATGAACAATTGTTCATATTTTCTGCCTTTTTAGGCCTTTTGAAAAAGTGGAGCTTGGTGTCTATTTACTGCATTCTTACAGCAGCTAAATCAAAACTTGGTGATCACTTGGGGAAATTTCATCAGGATTTTAATTACTTTATTTACCTTGAAACATCCAAGTCTCTTTATTACAGTTGACTTAATTTACATAACTACTGGCCTGATTGTGCTAGCAGGCAGTATTTAATGAAGGACTTCAACTCTGCTCCTATAAAAGAAAGAACTTTCTATATTACAAAGGTGGTAAATGTTAAGCAAAGAGGAACAAAAATCAACAATCTCATCCATTAAAATACCTTAATATTTTGATTTGTCTTGTGTATATTTTTAAACAAAATCAAAATCAGGCTGTTTTTGTCATATGGGCTTTGCCCCCTTGTCCTGATCATCTTTATATTTAGAATATTCTCCTAGAGCATTGCTTTAATGGCTACACAGTGTTCAATCTGATGGAGAAACTATAAGTTATAAACCTGTGCATTTAATAAATTGGTATTTCTGCTTTTACTATTATGAAGAGAGCACTGATGAGCAATGATAAAGTCTTACTACCATGCAATATTATTTTCTTAAGTTAAATAGTTGCTGGGGCCAATCACTTATCATTTCAATCCAGAAAGGTTGTTCCAAACTGCTTCCTCGAATTCTTGCTGACTGTTGAAATTTTTCATTAATCTCCATTACTTTACCCACTTGATGTAACTCTTTTTTAAGTGTCAAGTATGCAAACTAATTTCAAATATTTATCAAAGCATTAAATAAGAATCAATGTCTGTTCTACCTCAGGCTTCTATGATCCCTTATGAAACATGAAAGTTGTGATTTATTGTCCTATGACCACCCTGTGATGGTGGTGAGAGCATTATCATTAATATTTTTAAAGAGAAGGCTCAAAAAAAAAAAAAAAGAATAATTTGCCCCTGGTCATGTAGACCAGGGTGGCTGGGCCAGCATGCAAACCCGACCCATTCCAAGACCCTTTTACATTCTTGCGCCCTCTGCTGGTAAGGATGCTCTGCAGGAAGGGGCAGTCTCTAGACGTCATTGTATAGTCAGCCTTGGGAGTCAACAATAATGGAAATAATACAAGCTTTGAGGTTAGAGGGTCTGGGTTTTGAGAGTCACTTAATCTCATTGAGTTTCCTCTCTGAGTTACTGTGAGAAAAAAAAATGAGACTACATGAGGAATGTTTTGTAAACCTTACTTTAAAAATGTCACTTGTTATTTCTACTATCCTAATCTACTTAGTCCCTGAATTATCCCAAATTCATTTATTTTTCAACTATTAATTAGTCAATTAAGTATTATTGAGCTATTCCTATGATTACAGTACCATCTGTGACAAAGGAATAAAAGAAGGGTGGCCTTAAGCCCTGGTACCTTTGATAGCTGAAATAGTGGAAAACAAAAGCTCAGGACACATTTAAAGGAAAGTACAAGTCAGCTCTGATTAAAGTGTCAGGTGAGCAGTATGTTACCAGAATATGGAAAAGGAGCTTTTAATTTGAGCTGATACCTGTAGGGGAGGCTGTTAAACAAAAGCCAGGATTTGAGCTGACCTGGGAGATAAAAGAGGCAAGAAGAGGCAGTTAGCTATAGTTTAGATTGTTCCACAAAGGCCCATGGAGTGTCTAAATATTGCTCTTCAGGGAGGCACTATTGGGAGGTAGTAGACCTTTTATGAGGTGCGGCCTAGTGGGAGGAAATTAGGTCATTGGGGACATGTCCCTGAAGAAGAATATGGGTCCCTCCCTGGTCCCTTCCTTTTTCTTTTTCTTTCTTTCTTTTTTTTTTTTTTTTACTGGGCATGAACCCAAGGGCATGATGCATGCTAGGCAAGTGCTGAATCTCTAAGCTATACCCCTAACCCTGTCCTTTCTCTTATTGGCTTTCCAGCCATGAGGTGAGCAGTTTTGTCCTACCTCATGCTACCACCATGATATGCTTCCTTACCACAGGCCCAAAGGCAATGGAGCCAACCAATCATGGATGGAAATCTATAAAACTATGAGCCAATATAAACCTATTCTCTTTATAAATTGATGTCTTAGGTATTTATTATAGTGACAGAAAGCTAACACAAACTTTGCATACAAATTCCCTGAGTATTATAGGTATGGAGAACTAGAACTTGAAATATAATTCTTCACTGCCAAGTCCCCTTCACTTTCATATTGCTCCTTTCAAGTTTTCAGTCCCAATCTGAAAACGTACTTTGCATGCATGAACTCAAAAAATGCAAGAACTGTTTAGATTGGCATATGCAGGGCAAGGGGTCCATTGGGGGAGAAAAAGGAAGAAAAAACTGCAAGTAATCAGTAACCCTTAAATAATTCAGTAACCAAAATGTCTGAAAATTTCCTTACAGATGGTAGTGGACAACCCTCATATGTTTTTGATATGGTGAAAAATAAGGTTTTAGATTCAGGCAAACCCTGGTTCCAGGGCCAACATAGACCCTTACCAGCATGTGACCTTGCTCCAACCTGGGCAAATTATAAGTTTTATGTGTTGGTAGCTTCATCTGTAAATGTAGGTTTAGCAATATTTTACCTTGAAGAATTATGAAGATTACTGATAATATAAATTATGTAATTAGCACCAGAGTATCTGGCATTAACTGGGTAGCTATTAGAAAAATGTAAAATACAGAAGGTGCACCTTAAGAACAGCCAGGATGTTTTAGGTTCTAGGTTTCTGTAGTTTTCACTGGTGCCAGCAGACAGACAAGACCATGAGAAACTCTAGCTGTCAGCTCCAGTTCAGATCGGATTATTTTACTGTGTGTTCCACCAAAGTGCAGACTGCTACCCACTACTAAACCATACACCAGACTCTTAAATCTAAAATATAGGCCTGGTGCCCCAAGAAACCTGCTGCTTTCCTCAGTCCAGTAAAAGAGGATGAGACTAGAAACGGGGACTGTCCAAGAGATGGTCCTCAGTGTCCCTGCTCTTCTAGAAGTTTATCTACCCTTTGGGGAATTACGATCACTTCTGTTGCCCTGGGAGAATGGGGAGGTGGAAGAGGATGGGGGAAGGGCCATTATGTCCCCTTTTACAATTTGGCATAGATAACCTTTTCATCTATTTTTTTCTTGCATAATTTCCCCAGGACATCAGGGATTAGATATAACATTTAAATAAGATTTCACTAAAAGCTGAGGGATATTAGGTGAAGAAATAAACTCAACAAGGAATAAATATACAGCCCCAAAAAGCATCTTACAAAATATGACTTTCTCCTACCCCTAATCCCTATATTTCCTAAATGCCAACTTCATGCCAGTTTCCAGTTTGGTTT